AACGGAGCGTTATTCCTAGAATGGGTTAAAACTCAACTGGTACCGGTATTGCCCCCCAAGAGTCTGGTTGTCATGGACAATGCTCCATATCATGGCGTTTAGGTACCTAACACAAAAGCCCCAACGTCTAACGACGTTATGATAGAATGGTTGACACACAAAGCAATACCGTATCCACAAAAAGCAACGAAACCTGTTCTGTGTGGTATTATAAAGTCTAATAAAACCACACATGTCTTTAAAGTTGACGAGTATCTTAAAGAACATGGCCATTCAGTTTTGCGATTGCCGCCCTATCATTGCGATTTAAACCCAATAGAACTAATTTGGGGTATCATTAAAGCGGATGTTGCCAGGCAAATACAACATTCAAACTGCGGGATGTACAGAAACTGGTTCAACAATCACTAGACACCATCACGCAGGAAACGTGGCAAAAGTGTGTTGAGAATGAAATAGAGAGACATTATTGGGATCACAGTGGATTAGACCATGCCACAACCAAGCCAGTGATCATCAGAGTAGACTCGGACAGCGGCGATAGCGATTCGGACAACAGCGACGCCGATTCCGAATGCACTGTCACGGCTTCAGAAACCTGCAACAGTGACTCCGATTGAAAACCCCAAACGGCTTTTGAGATGACCCCCATATACGGTGCACACGCGTGTTCATTACCGGGCTGTTCCATGAGCGACTGGTCCTCCCTGGTATGGGATGGCGAAGAATGTCAACAATATGATGATCGTTTGTAAAACATTTTTTTTTTATTCGGGGGGTCCAAAATTATGAGACAAGAGTCATCAGAAAGATGACATATCCCCCCGGCAGCTGTCTGTAAAGTAACCACTAGTAAATGTGCAATTTTGTATGTAATGAGTCAACAGTTTAATGTTCTTTAAGAAGCATACATTGTTTACCCACAAATGATCCACCATCTATGTCCAACTTCATTCCATAAAAATTTAAAAAAATAAAAATTAGAAAAAACCCAAAATATCAAAAGGCACCACTTCAGTATGTGCCTGATAGCTTTGCTAAGTTTCGATCAAATACACTGAATGGTTTTCGAATTCTTCCCCGGAAACGAACCCCATCCCCAATTGAGTCTATGTCCAACTTCATTCCATAAAAATTTTAAAAAATAAAAATTAGAAAAAACCCAAAATATCAAAAGGCACCACTTCAGTATGTGCCTGATAGCTTTGCCAAGTTTCGATCAAATACACTGAATGGTTTTCGAATTCTGCCCCGGAAACGAACCCCATCCCCAATTGAGTCTATGTCGAACTTCATTCCATAAAAAATTTAAAAAATACAAATTAGAAAAATCCCAAAATATCAAAAGGCACCACTTCAGTATGTGCCTGATACCTTTGCCAAGTTTCGATCAAATACACTGAATGGTTTGGGAATTCTGCCCCGGAAAAGGAAATGATTACGTACGGACAGACGGACGGACAGACAGACTGGCTGATCGCTATATCCCCCCGCATTATATGCCGGGGGGATAACAAACCATCAGAGTTGGTCTGTCCAATTCATGTCGCTGTGCACATTTTGGTTTTGTTGCAATTATTAGATTTTGAGTTAGTGAGCAATTCATCGGTCTCAGATGGAATCAAACGGACTGTAGTCAATGTAGTACATGTTTGAATAGAACATTGCAAGTGTATTTGGTCTGTTGATGCCGTTTGAATAGTTATATGGGTACAAATGGACACAGACATGGAAAAGAATGAGTACCGAGCAGTCATCAAGTTTTTAGACTTTAGAGAAAAGCACTCGCCAAGAAATTCATGACCGCATGTCACAAGTGTATTGGGATAAATGCCCTAGCTATTCCACTGTTAAACGTTAAGCAGCTATGTTTAAGGCTGGGAGAACAAGCCTTGATGATGACCCTAGGTCTGGACGTCCCTTAACTTCCATTAATGAAGATTCAGTCAAGGAGATAAAACTTATACTGTCAGATAGACGTATTAGCATAGTTGAACTTGAGGAAGATACAGGTCTAAGCCATGGATCCATTGAAACTATTATTCATGAATAACATATCTGCTCGATGAGTGGCAAAGTTTCTAAATTCTGATCTTAAGGAAAAAAGAACGACATCGCCAGAGGACATTTAAAGCTGTTTGGCGAGGATTTCGTCAAATTCGGAAAGAGATCAGTAACGGGTGATGAAACATGGGCCTACCACTAGAATCACGAGTCAAAACGTCAATCCATGGAATGGCACCATTCCACTTCTTCGGCACCAAAAAAAATCAAATCTTCAAGATCAGTGAAGGAAGTTATGGCCACTGTATTCTGTGATGCAAAGGGTGTGATCCCTGTTGATTACTTAGAAAGTCAAAAGACGATTACCGGTGCCTACTATGCTGATTTGTTTCATCGCCTGAGATATTCTATCAAAGAAAAGCGGCGAGGAATGGTTACTGCTGGTTTTCCACTTCCTCATGACAATGCCTCTTCTCACACCTCTCGACTTGCAAAGACTGCTGTGCGACAATGTGGGTTCGAAGAGCTTCCTCCATAGTCGCCTGACCTGGCACCAAGTGATTTCAACCTGTTTCCTAAACTGAAAGAACACCTTTGTGGGAAGCGCTATGACGACAACGATAACCCCAAAGCTGCCGTGAATGGGGCTTTCAGGGTGGATTCAGAAAACGTCTTCCTGACTTGAATTGAAAAGCTTCACTCTCGATATAAGAAAGTGTATTGATAAGCGTGGAGATTATGTTGAAAAATAAAATTTAAAACTTATACAATTCTTAGTTTTGTATGTTAGGCTTAGAACGTTTTGACCAGCCCTCGTATAATTTCATAATGACAAAGTGTAGCTTCACCAGGTAACCTGTTTTAACGGTCATTAACACATCTATCCACTTGTGTTACCCTTATTTCTGGGAATACTGGGTTCTGAATGTTTGCTTTTTTTACAGCGAGGAGCGTTGCTTCTTTTAGTCTTTATAATTCAATGGGAGATCAGTTGAAGTTACATGTGATTTAGGAACAGGGTTAAGCACCTGTGAATACAGGGGAATATACTTTTAGATAATATAAGTTTTTCTCTTTGCCGCCTTACTTCCACTTTATATACTGAACAACAAAAGTTCCTGTGACATTGAATAAGATTTAATGCAAAGTTATGTTTTTTACCAAATCTGAATCAATTTCGTTTTGCAACAGATAAAAGACTCCTGTAAGTGTTCGAATGGTTTAATTTGCCATACTGACTTCAGAAAATGCGTGATTTCATAAAAAAAACCATGAACATGCCAAAATGTCAATTTACAAATCAATAGCGAGTGTGTCCACCTCTGGTTGCGATGCAAGCAACACATCTTCGTCTCATGGAATGGACCAGCCGTCGCACAAAGTCCTGTGGGATATCTGTCCATATCTGCTGGAGCATGTTTCGAAGTGCCCGGAGTGTCTGTGTAACACGTGGTTGACGTCGAAGGCGCCGATCCATCACATCTCACATGTGCTCGATTGGTGAGAGATCAGGGGAGAGAGCCGACCAGGGGATGACATTCACGTTGTTTTGTTGAAAAGAATCCTGAACAAGTCGAGCAATATGAGGCCGGGCGTTGTCATGTTGAAAGGTAATGCCTGAGCCATGACGACGCAAAAATGGTAGAACAACAGGGCCGATGATCTCGTCGCGGTAGCGCTGTCCATTGAGATTTCCCTCTACCACTATCAAATGGGTCCTCTGTCTTGCTGTAATCCCACCCCATACCATAACGTTGCCGCCACCGAACCGATCTTCTTCCATGACACAATGATTGACGTAACGTTCACCTCGACGTCGGTACACTCGAATCCGTCCATCGCTGTGACTGAGGTGAAAACGAGACTCGTCAGTGAATAGAACTTATCCCCACTGCATGGCCGTCCAGCGTAGACGCTGTCTGAACCACTGTATACGTGCTTGACGGTGGTTTTTCTGTCAAAATGGGACGTCAAAATGGGACGTGGTTCTTCTGGCGACAGTCCATACACATCTGAGGCGACGACATACGGTTTGTGAAGATATTCGTCGAAGGCCAGGGATGCTTCTTGCAGTCACTGTTGCTGGCTGGAATCGATTGCGTAGGTGTGTTTTTCGAATCCAGTTGTCACATATAGGTATAACGTATTAGCTTGGCGTTCAGACGAATCGAGATTTTTGTCAGGACCTAGTATACCAGTCGAACCATCAGAGGGAGCCTTATTGGAAGTCATTCCATGTCTGGACCAAGGCCTGTCGCAGCTGTAACGTTCCATTCGACGTCGATAAACACGCTGACGACCATCACTGCTGTCCGGATGAAACCTGGACTCAACTGTGAAGAGGACTGAACCTCAGATGTTGTCTTGAACATGTTTGCGGGCAGTTCGATGACGTGGCAGCAAAATTGGACGTACAGCTGCACGTCGTGGTCGGATGTTGTGCTCTTGTAATCGATTCCTCACAGTCCTTGCACTAATCGGAAGTACACCAACGATTCAACGGGCAGTCAAGTTGCAGTCTGAAACCGATTTTCCAGGTGAACCAGACGAATATGAGTATCTTGCCGACGTGACGTTACTCGTGGACGTAGAACGTGGTCGGTCCGTGGTGTTACACGTCTGTTGGTACCGACCCCAGAGTGACTGTATGGTGTGTTACGATTTACACCAAAACGCCAAGCAGTGTTTTGTCCAATTCAAGTTTCAAGCTTTTTAACTGCACGCAACCACTCATTTTCAGATGGATGTGGCATAACGTTTACGAGGTTTCAACAAAGTTGCTTTTCATAGTTAAAGCACTTCAACGATTTACTTTGTGTTTGACTCGGTCTCAGGTGTAATGTAAATGCGTGATGAATTTCTTACTCATGGTATTTTATGCATGCAATGACCGGGATACGCGTGCAATTTCAGGATCATCACGGGTAATCATGTGTAAGTAAGTGCCCTTACATGTGATTATGATGCACGATTCTGAAAAATCCATGGACAGTTTATTATAATTTGATTGTTTATTGTGCATAGGTCTTGTTTCAAAGTATATATGTCAAAACGTGATGTAGACAAGTAAATGAGGAGGATGTCAAGCATGTACCTACAAGGCTGCAACCATTTGGCAGCGAGCGCACCAAGAGTGCACTTTTAGAATCCACACCGAAAAGGACAATAAATGCATGTTCTCTCACGAGAATGTTATCTTTCCAAGGCCCATCAATGAACCGCGTGTTTTGCAGGTATACTAAATTTAGCTCTTTAGATTTTGTTCGTGTTGCATGTATTAAACATAAAAAAACATAGTAACATAATATTGAAAAATCTAGGTAATACCTTTACAATTATTTACAAATTTCACGAAAGCCTCTGCTAACTTAACTGTTAAAAGTATCATTATTTTGACAATATTTCATATGACATAGCACTGAGTTCATAATTCCTACAATGTTCAAGTTCAAGTATCCAAGTTTTAGCAAATATGCCACTGCATCCAAGAAGGACAATGTCTTGGCTTATCTGCTGTCTCAATCCTCTCAATGACTTCACCGTTTCTCGTCTAATCTCTTCTCCTGATCTGTTCCATTCCAGCATTAGGAAACTTCCTTTGTTGTTTTAACTAAGTGTAGATGTTTTGGAATGTAGACCTTTTGGAGACATCCGCGACATGGCTTGGTTGATCTCAGTTTGAACAGTATTTCAGTTAGATCAGTGCAATGCGGGGGTACTTAACGGTTATGCATGTCGTAGATGTTTAAGAGTAACAAACCATTAATCACGACCGGTTCAAATCAGGGATTCGAACCCACGATCAATGATTACTGGCACGGCAACGAGACGCAACTATTAAGAAACGAACAATAGCTTGGCTTCATAGGATATCTACATCTTAAAGATGTTCTTGCATTTGCCTTCTAAGCATGAAACATTGTAATATCAGGAATAATATATACTGAATCTAATATACTCGGAGTTACGAATCATTAAAATGTCGGTCGAACACTTTAAAAACTCGTTGCATTCTGTAATTATCCCCGTCAGTCTGTGAGAACTCTTCTAGGATTTTCTGAAATGCAACATTTCAGCCCTGGTGTTTTGTGTCGGCTGTGAGACATCCTTTATGCTTGCGTAGATTCTGTCATCTCTTCTTGGTGGTAACCGTGGCAAGAAAACAATGTCTTCTTCCTTGATCATCGATATGCGTGCTGATTCCCGCGAAGACTGCAAAATATTATATATTATTATTGTGTTATACCAATTTGTAAGTGAAAAGAAAACGCACAGAGATTACATTTTCAGTTTAATCATACTAACTGTTGGCCACTTTCATAACGAAACAACTGAAGTGAATAACTTGTTTAAATAATAAGTATGTACACTGTTACTCAATCTACCGCACGAAACTGAATTCCCGTAAAGTGAATTGCAACCACTTTACCTCAGTGTTGAGTGTTCTGCTGCGACTTCTTAGAGTAACAGTTGGGGGCACCGCTGTCCAAATACATAGATAATGAAACCAAAATAATAATAGTCACAACAAAAAATCACGACATATGTTGAAGTTAAAGACAGTGCGTTGTACATTTAAGATATTCATTGTAAAGTGAGGTAGACATTGATCAGGTACATCGAATAAATAAACTCACGATTGCTGTTGTCGTCCCTGATACCAATTCTGGGGCGAAATTCTGTGCCCACCTGCCAAAACATAAATTCCTTGTTTATGCCCATGGTTTGTGTACCAATCAACAATGCTGGTTGTTTCATGCTTTACAAAGAGCATGCAATACTGAAGAGTGCACGTGTCTGTTGTCTTGGCTGGACAGCTTATTCTCTAGTGCATGTACATAGACATGGCAGTGGTTAAGGGTATCTGAATTTGCTTTTTCCTTGACCATATATGTATTGCTGTTGTTTCCGAAATATATATCCATGAGGAATTGATATCTGAGCAGTAAAATACTTTCCGATATTTAATCAATAAACATATATTGTCCGTAGTCAACGAATGCATTGATAGGCAGTTTTAACGTGAATCGTTATTCATACCATATCCATGGCCATGTAGTGATTGCCGGCTGGCAATATTGATCTTTGAACTGAAAAGAAAGTGTAAAAATGACATGAAAATGCACATGACTGCATGTTTCATAAATTAAAAACACATCCAATTTCATTCCTAAATGCAGTGGCACCCACAAGTAAATCAAACATTTTACGCATAATCATACACTATACTATACATACCCTTTAAATGATATTATTATAGGAGTAACAATGAGACAACAGTAATGGTAAGCGAAGGAACACCAGGATATAATATCCGGTTGTGTTTCGAAGATAAACTACTTGGTATGGTGGTATCTCATGATACCATGAAAACAATACCTCGCTTCTACAGCGTGTCTATCACATGTCTCAAGTTAGTTTGTTATCATTATTTTTCATACCGCCGTCAGGAACTTGAGAAGCACTGATATCTTCATAGTCTATTCTCTTTACCTCTGCAACGTCATTGAATGTTGTCAGGGAAATACACTTGCCAATAAGAAGAATAGTATAAGCATATGATGTTTCATTTCACTATTATCTCTCCGATACGACTTTTCTCGGATGTACTCTGATAACGTTTTCATTTACCAGTAACAAATATTCATACATTTTGATTGAAGGTAATAAATAATAAATATTAAAGAGAGTCACATTTAGTTCCTTTTACGTTAAATGGTATCAATCCTAGACTGCTTATTATGTTCCTAGTAGGTTAGTAAGGAAACAAGCATAATTATATGACATGCAATATTGAAATAAATAAGGAGTGTCTTGAATCATACTTTGTCACCAGGAATACTACAAAGCGGGTATAAATTGACCAGAAAAGTGGTATTGTTTATCCTTTGATTAAACAGAATACTTGCCTCTTAAAGCACTATTTGCATCTTTCATCATGTCACAATAAGCTTCTTTGTCTATAAATAAACACGGATAATGAACATTCATTCAAAGAAATTTCAGTATATTTCATCATGTTGTCTATCTCATGACAAAGTTACTTCTTCACGATTAGAACGTTTACATACACAAGTGAAAATGTTAAGCACTCCCTGAAAAAAGTTAACCACTGTCGGGCGACCGCGAATATAATTGTCAAATCATTTTGGTAATCATACCAACAGTTAGCCATAGCTAGAATGTAAATGTTTGCTACCGGTTGTGACGCGCCAAAGACGTGCAACAAGTGAACTACGACTTGTTAACAACGCTTGTCAACGCTAAATCCAAGCACACTTTGAAATTATCCTGAACTGTTGTCTTAATGTATGTTCAACAGGGCTCGTGGGAATAATAGGTATGCAAAGTGCTGAGGTAAAGGGCCGCGAAGATCGCAGCCTGCTTCGCTTGGTTAGGCGACATTCCTTTATACACGAGAAGAACTGGGCATTGAGGTAAATCCACTGGTTGTATGGGAGCATGTTCTGGTGGCGTGTCACTGGTGGGTACTCGCACCTGGCGGCAACGAGACACGCCATACACGCCCAAGAAGATTCCCACAGTCCCCTTTGCTGAAGGATCAGTCATGACATGGGGTTGCCTGTACCGCGATTCTAAGCCGGACATAGGGGGCTTCTAATGGGTGACGTCACGGGTGCAGGCCTTAAATTCTGGATCCGATCGATAAACCACATTAGGAAAACCTATGGCATCCAGACCCTTCTACAAGGACGGCTACGCGAGACCACACCCTTCTCGACAGGTGACAGAGGTCCTCCAGCAAAACGCTGTCACAACCCATCCCTTGGCCCACCATGAATCCAGATCTCAACACGGTGCAATACATCTAGGACACCATAGAGCGCAGAAGATACAGAAGCTGTACCCACTACTAGCCAATCTATAGGAACTGGCACAATCACAGCACCACCAAGAATGGCAAAACCTACCGCAGGGACGCAGGGACGCAGGAACGCAGGAGGCATCTCACATGAGGCATGAGGAGGCGGGTTCGGGAGCAGGGTTGAGGCGGTCTTCCGGTCACGTGGCGGATGTACATTTTGTGGACAATCTCGTCACATAAAGTCATTTTGGGGACATGAGGGTCAATTTTACCAGCAACAACTGTCTGGGTTACGTACGTAGTTACGTACTAATTTTGTCAATAATATACACAATACACTGTCCACCGATAATATGAATACTATTTCCTAAAATATCATGATTGTTGTCTTTGTTTATTGACAAAAACAGCATATGTTCTGGTTTCTATGCCATATATTTCGGACCATCGCATGGTTTTTAAACATAACTCCAAATCAACTGGGGGCACTTATCTTTTGCCCATGTGTATACAGTAAACTGTATTTCATAAAACACAAATGTGTCACAGTGGTCAATTGTAGATCGGATATTTCTACCAATATGATGCGTGTGAACGCTTATTGCACACTCTCCGTGTAGGTTATCCTTTCGGTATTATTTGCAAGAGATATATGTGCATTTGTAAGACCAAGATATAGGATAGAAAACATTCAGCAGTGTTGAACGAAATATACTCTCCAAAGAAACGCATAGTCTGGTGTGTCCAAAGTAGGATAACCCATTTAATACAATATCATTTTCAGCCAAATTATATAAAAAGGAAGTCGGAATGTCAGTAACATAAATAAGTAAATAAAAGAAGTTCAATCAGTGGTGACGTCAATTCACAAGTGGGCGTCGGTACCTATTGTGACCACCATGTGCCACCAAAACTGCTCTGCATCTTTTCGGCCTAGATTGATGAAGTCTTTGAATCTAATGACGTAAAAGGTCATCCCTGTAGCGAATAACTGTTCAATTAGTCTTTACGTGCACATGGTTTGATCTCTGCGTGTAGGATATGCACATCACTCTTTCGTTACTCTGCCGTCACACTGCTTACAACAGACACTCTAACTCAGTTTCAGTTGCCGCTGCAGTGGTGATCCGAGTTCCACTACTTCGTGGCCGATGTTGCTTGGAATTGTATCGCTGACCTAAATCCCAAAGACGATGCAGTGTGGTTTTAAATAGGTACTACCGCTGCCCACGATTCCTTAAATTGCTCGTCGATATTCCAAACAGTTCTTTCTGCATTACATTTTCATGCAAATTTACACTACCCCACGCAGAAATGCACTTCATTTTAAAATGTTACGTTTTGACACGCTGAATCTTTTCCGTTAACATATAGGAGCATTTTGTTAGTAAACATGTTACAATCAAAGACGATTTCTGACAAATATTTGAAATTGCATCTTTCCACACCAAGAGTGCGTTTCTTTTTTGAAAGAGTATACATTAATACAAACATGAGGATAGCCTTCAGATGTAGTTTATGACGAGTTGCTTGGCAATATTAGTAAGAAGCATGGGTTAAAGGGGACGGTACATGGGAAGCAAGTAGTGTATAGAGAGGTTAGAGTCTGCAGCGAAACACGTCTTGCATGTTCACTCATTTTGTATCCGTCCCTCAATCAACACTAACTTAAGTTAAACATGTCCCACCTAAATGTGAAACCAATCAATAATGTTGAAACCAACCATAAACGAATCGGCGGTCAGACATACTATTCAACTTGAGGACGCCATGGAAGGCTGATACTGAGTGTCTGCTTTGATCAAATGATCCTGTTCAATTCTCGAGTACAGAATCACACGAATAGGATCACGAGTTTATTCCTCAATGTTTGTCCAGAAAAACAATGTTGTATTTGAGTAAAGCCTTGATTTGAGCCATGCTATGACCATCCCCACGAATGAGCAAAACACATGATGGCTAAAAGACAGATCAGCAAGACATTAATCATGACAAGACGTGCGTCCTAATGTGGTTTGATCATGCTCAAGTACAGCTTCTCACATATTTACCTTGTGCAGCCTCTATCGTTTCCTTTTCTGACTGTGTTAGCGAAGGCTCCTTAAAAACAAATGGATAGACCTATAACATTACAAATACAGACACTGTTTGATACAGCCAAATAGTCCTGTTCAGATCAGCTACTGCAGGTTGATTATTACACCAAACAAAAATGTTGTGTCAAAATATAAACAAACAATTGATTCGAATATTGTGAATTGTTAAATATTGACACCTAGTTTAATATATTACAGTTTAATAAGGGCCTAGGACCCAAAATTTATGTTTCATACTTTGTACCATCGTAAAAAAGGGGGAATTCGTGTCTTTGACGCGACGAAAGAACGACTAAGTCATTCACGACAAACATATGACTCTGTAGGTTAGATTCATACAAACTCATTCACTCCACATGAGACCAACTCCGTGGTCTAGTGGAAGGTCGGGGGTTCGATCCCCACCCGCGTCATACCAAAAAACGTTAAATGATGGTATTACGCTCGGCATTAAGCGGTTAAAACAAGGACTGTTGGACTCGGAATCAGTATGCTGTGTCTGAGTTGGATAATTATGTTAAACTGTGCCATGGTTTCTCAGTGGAGAACGTTTAACACCACTTCACTTCACCTCACTTCACTTCACTTCACTCCATATGACCTACAAAGGGTGGTAGTAATGGACGCATCCACGCACGCACGCACGCACGCACGCACGCACACGCACGCACGCACACACACACACACACACACACACACACACACAGAACATCAAATGGTCACTGCTGACATCCCTAACCATTAATACCCTGAGACTTTCGGAAAGCCGGATGTGTTGAAATTTCAGTGCGATATCTGCTGGTGTGAGACCATTTCTGTTTTTCATCTTGCTGGCTAGTTTTCCCACTGGTGTATCCTGTATGGATCTGCATAACTCCTTGAGTCCAAACCGAGCCGCTACATGAAGTAACGTTGGCGAATCCTGTTCTCTGTTGCCTATGAAACCATGCAGTCAAAAAAGTCAATCGAGCATTCACTGATACACCTATTTGACCAGGAAAACGACATACATTTCGAACGTAATTAATTCGTAATTATTGTTTGGCATATTCACCCATGCACGAAGCACAACGCTGGGCCACAGGGCCATGAAGCACACACTGGTCAGTAAAAGGGGCATTTATATATTTTCCAAACTGGTTAATCTTTTCTTTTTGTAAAACCTAGATCCATTCTGAACATTCTATAGGTTTTTGTAGACGTGGACCATATTTTCCAAAGATATTTCTTTCAAAGTACCAAGGCAAAAAAAATAAAATATGTTTCTGTAATTATTGTGTCTGCAATTTCTAAAATCTTTGCAATTGATGAGTACACAGGAAAGCAGTTTCTAAGTAAATGATCAAACTTCTCTCTGACCTCAAAATCTGGCTGTCGGTCATGATTCTCGCATAGAAGCAAAGTTACAATTGTCCATAATGAGACATGCAAGTACATATTTACGACGCACATTATGCCAAGAAGAACACACCATACTTATATACTCACCGCCAAAAGAAACTCGAATTTAGAAACATATGGAGAAGTGCGTAGTTTAAGAAGAGATATGTTTCCAATGTGTACCACGTAATGACAAAACTAACAATCAGTCAAGTTTTACCACTGCGTGTCTTTATTCTGATCACAATATGCTGCACGTGATTTCCAAACTTACGCTAACCCTGCACGAGACAATTTTTTCATCTCGTGTCATGGGTCTGTGACGTCACATGTAATGTGTTCATGAGCTTCGATTCACACAACATACCAATATGTCCGTTTGTGCATTGAACAAATCTAACATCTCTTGAATATGAGTAATCCTTCTTATGTTAACCGACATGTAAGGGTATTCACGTTTCTTTTGTCGGTGAGTATAGGTATTGCTTTTGGTATATTAAATATTACATGAAGTGCCGTGCTATATTTCTAGCCAAACTTAAAAGTACCATGACACATATATTGTCATTGAAATAGATATTCATTTACCTTGAACATCTTGTTTATCACAATCTATTGTCGTTAAGCTGTGGGCATTGCCGAACATGTGGCATAGAGTTTGGTCAAGGATGCCGGTGTTGGAGCTAGTGTCCCCTAGCACTGCCTGACACAGCAGATCCAAAGGCCTGGTCACTTCGTCAAGGAGATACTGAACCTCGGCCAGCTTTGAGTAGTATACCAACGTTTCCACGCCCGATGAACACCCGTTCACGAACACTTGCACCTCTGTCTCGCCCGAGTAAACACCTTCACACAGAACACATCCTGGCATAACAGTGTACAACTGAATGAAGCTCATTGTTATTATTGATAACAACAGCTTAATGATCACAGATTCAGAAAATAAACACAACGCGCTTTTAGATTTGCGTTTGGTATTGAGTATTCGATGCCCAGATAGTACATATGGAACTCATATCTCAAAAGACGTGTGTACAGCGACGATGTGATTTGGTTTATTGATTGTCTTCGTATTCCTCTCGACAAAATGAATATCTAAATGAATATGTGTTTAAACGCAACAATATGCTAAGTGTGCTAAATGTCGCATATAGTTTCCTGTTCACTGTGGGGTTCGAAATGGCATATCGCCACGTCAACGAGTTCGTCACTTAATCGTCTTTAAAAAGCGGCGGATCCTAGAGAAGTACCAAATGTCACAACATGGTCACATCGTTTAAAGTCGTCGTCGCTCTATCATGACACAGATGGGACCCCACAGCAGTTTGATAATACGTGGGTTTTTTTCCATTTGCAAATCCATCAACGCATACATATAGAGTCACTATGTTTATCTTAAATATGTCACGTTACCACACCCATGTATCAGGTTAACGTAAATAAAGTTTATGTGCTACCTTTTATTCGAACTTTAAGATTATATTTCCCGTTTCTAAAACATATGTCATGATACTTACCCACAGGGTTGAAAAAATACGTGTAAGGGTTGTAGAAAGTTGCAGCAATCTTGTCCGATTTGTCTTGCTGTATTTCAACACATCCTCGAGTTTCTCTTGAAAACATCACATAGACCTTGTCTACATTCTGTCAAAATAAACAAACAAAGTGTAACTTCTATATTGTGTACACGAAACTCTGCAAGAAAGACTTATGAAACAATAGGCTATGTTACCAGTGATAGAACACCTAGATCATACTATCTTCTTTTTAGCAATTGTATGATAAATGTATTTTGCATGATTTGTATAAATAGAGGTTATCACGCGAGTGTGTTTGGGGATGGTAAATATCCTGCATTAGGAATAAACATTGTATTTAGCGAGCCTTGGCGAGCTAAATACATAGTGTTTATTCCTAATACAGGATATTAAACATCCCCAAACACACAAGAGTGATAACCTCTTTATCATATAATGTCATTCTTTAATTCTGTGCTTCAAAATCGCTTTCCCTCTCTCACAAACATTACAGAAACATTGCGAGTTTTCCTGGAATGCGCGCATTAATATTTATTACGTCACAGGGTAAGTGATGTGTCAGTCGGACAGTGACAGTAGCCGATATAGTTCCAACTGAAATATGTTTCTTATACAGTGGCGAAGCAACATATACGCAAAACAACAATTGTTTTTAATTGCCTTTCGCGGCAATCCATCTGTCTGTCCGCTAGAGTAACTGCTCTTTGTCAAAGGGAAGCTACTCTAACCCTAGTCTATGAGACGTCACGGCCACGGTCAGACGTTGTTGACAGTCGGTCTGTCCTGTCATAACGATAAGAAGTGTAGTCAGATGTACACACAGCGACAAAACGAAACAAGGTAACAATTCAAACATATTTCCGCCAAATCCAACTATTTTAATTTGTGGAGGAGGTTCCAAGCCGCAGAGGTCTACAAGCACAGATATGGCTACTGATTCCGCTTGGCTAGGCCTCGTGCCCTCGCCAAATTGTTTCGAAATTTATATCTCCAAAGTTGCCAAAACTTATAAAATGCCTTAGCTACGTCACAGTTAGACACAGATTTTCAGTATATTAGACTGTTCTTTTGATAATAATAGCAATTATCCCTGTAGTTTATCCAGATTCCCGATGGTTAATTCTGACTCGATCGCCGAATGACGAGTGCGACGCCATGTTTGTTTATAAACAGTGAAAGTAGTCCCTACTTGACCTTTGATATTTGCATCTCTATCCGCATATGACCCCAACGGATATCGTTTTTATCCGTTGGCTTTATCCTGTCGAGAAACCTACCCATTATATGATAAAATGTGTTATCGGTAGAATTGCTAGAGTTATCATAAAGCGTTATCTGTCAAAGTGCTGGTCACTGTAATTTGACAATGCCCTGATTTTGTTTAAGTCGCATACTAATATAATAAAACAATGCGTCTGGCTATCGTACATCTCTGTCGACTCCGGGACTGAGCAAGTATTTAGGTCGCGAATATATCCTGAAAGACTCAACAACGATTTAGATGAGGAAACAAACAAGAGCTTGCAGATGGAAGGTGAATCGAACCACAGATTCACGATCAAACACGGGGAAAACCCCTTACCCTGGCAACGTTTAGGCAATCGTCAAACTTCCTTCCGTGCTAGTATCAATCACTGTACCATCATTTACAATACCAACATCCAGCAAACTATAAATGTTGTCGTTCGAAAATCTCATAAAATGGATTCACTGCAAGCGTCCTCATGCTTCAACTATAAGTGTTCAGGGCAAACTATACTTTATTAGACTACACATGCCGGAGAGCAACTTGTATGTACCTCCTTTACTCACAAGTGCACATGGTCTTTATGCATACACATATGCACGTTTTTCATTCACATATATAAACACATGTTAGTATCATTCTTTTCACACACATATATACAAGTGTACTTCATTCACACACACACATACGGGGGCACGGGTGGCCCAGTCGTCTAAGGCGCCGCGAATCGCTGTGCAGATTTGCGTCCCTTGGGCGCCCAGAAACCTTTGATTGTGGGTTCGAATCCCGGTTCGCCCCGATTATGTTTCTAGGTTTATCAGCACCATACCCGTGCTCGTGGGTGTCATCGAAGTGGTAAACGTCTGCATCACTTCGGGCTTTCCTCCCACATAGAGCTGACACGCCGTGATATAACTGGAATACTGTTAAAAGCGGCGCTAATATCCAGCCCACTCACACACATACTCATACATACACCTATACGCGTTTTCGTCATCCATGCGTGTCTATACGCACCTTCCATCGTCACGACGGTTTTATTGGTTAAGAAAGTTTATAACCTAGTCATAATCACCATTATTCTATATTATTCATTGTCCCTCGACGAACACGAACATTCAAGAAGGAACAAGGAAAATACATGTGACATTCACCAGGGTCGTTTAGCCTTGTTGTGATACGACGCAGTTCCCTGTTTATTCAATCAAACATCCTGTTATAATGTGACATGCATTGGCCGTGAACTGGGCGTCCTTGTATAACTTGGATTGACAAAATTGTAACACACCCATTTACATGTGTTCATTATTAATACACATATACACACGTACTTCATTATCACCCACATATGCACAGGTACTTCATTATCACACACACATATACAGGTACTTCAATAACACACACATACACACGTACTTCATTAACACACACACATACCTAGGTACTTCACTAACACACACATACACACACACACCTAGGTACTTCACTAATACACACGTACTTCATTAACACACACATATACCTAGGTACTTCATTAACACACACATATACACAGGTACTACATTAACACCCACATACACACATACTTCATTAACACACACATACACACCTACTTCATTAACACACACATACACACGTACTTCATTAACACACACATACACACGTACTTCACTAACACACACATACACACGTACTTCATTAACACACACACATACCTAGGTACTTCACTAACACATACATACACACGTACTTTATTAACACACACATACCTAGGTACTTCACTAACACACACATACACAAGTACTTCATTAACACACACACATACCGAGGTACTTCATTAACACACATACACACACGTACCTATCACACATAAACAGGTACTTCATTGTCACACACATACACACATACTTCATTATCACACACACATACACAAGCACTTCATTAACACACACATATACACAGGTACTGCATTTACACACACATACACACGTACTTCACTAACACACACATACACACGTACTTCATTAACACACACACATACCTAGGTACTTCACTAACACACACATACACACGTACTTTATTAACACACACATACCTAGGTACTTCACTAACACACACATACACAAGTACTTCATTAACACACACACATACCGAGGTACTTCATTAACACACATACACACACGTACCTATCACACATTAACAGGTACTTCATTGTCACACACATACACACATACTTCATTATCACACACACATACACAGGCACTTCATTAACACACACATATACACAGGTACTGCATTACACACACATACACACATACTTCATTAACACACACATACACACCTACTTCATTAACACACACATACACAAGTACTTCATTAACACACACACATACATAGGTACTTCATTAACACACATACACACACGTACTTATCACACATAAACAGGTACTTCATTGTCACACACATACCCACATACTTCATTATCACACACACACATACACAGGCACTTCATTAACACACACATATACACAGGTACTGCATTTACACACACATACACACCTACTTCATTAACACACACATACACACCTACTTCATCAACACACACATACACACGTACTTCATTAACACACACTTACACACGTACTTCATTATTACACACACATACACACGTACTTCATTAACACACACATACACACGTACTTCATTAACACACACGTACACACGTACTTCATTATCACACACATACACACGTACCTCATCATATACACGTACACAGGTACTTTATTAATAAACAACGTACTTCATTACCACACATATATACACACGTAATTTATTTACACACACCTATACACACGTCCCTTATTAACACATGGACGGTGGTGTAGCGTAGTGGTTTAAAGCGTTCGCACGTTACGCCACGTGGTTTCGATTCCCCACATATGTATTTCTGGTGTTCCCACCGTGATATTGCTGGAATATTGCTAATAGCAGCGTAAAGCCATACTCACTCACTATTAACACACACACACACACACACACACACACACACACACACACACACACACACACACACACACACACACACACACACACACACACACAGAGTGTGTGTATATATATATATTTACACGAACTTACACTAACACACATATACCCACGTACTTTATTATCACAAACACATACACACATATAAACACACGTGCTTCATATAGCTGGAATATTGCTGTACGGGACATTAAAAAACATACAAACAAACGAACAAAATGAACCAATTACTTCTGTCTTCAGACGCTATGATGTTACAAGTAAAATGTTTTTATGTACGAATGTACATACAGAGCTACATTTACGTAAGTAACGAAAACATTACTACACTCGTCTCCATTAGTTTTCTCTCTTTTGTCCTACGATGTGAAATACACTTGTTGAATTAAGTCGTGTATTAATCTCTCTATCTTACATACACATGTGTCACAATATGTGATAAAAAGAACCGCGACAAAACTGATCTTACAACCTTGATGGCTACGCCAGAATTGTCCACGTCAGCCCAACATTACTCTTGCCTGATCTAACCTTCTGTCAGAAGTCAACACATATCTTGAGTACCCTTCCAGGTCAAACAACTATTTAAAGTAAATACAAGCGACACAACCCTTTCCATATTCATAAGAAATCTCTACCGTCGATTGCACGATTCCTAGTGAGTGTATCCTGCCCCACCTGTGGCACCCGTCACAAAAACAAGCGAAGGCAAGTCAACCGTGCGCATGAGGGAACGGCTTGCATGTTACAGATAATAGACTCACCCATGTCACCACCGCTGGCATTAGTCGGAATGTCTTCAGCATGGGAAGTTGTTCATCATTGTCCTCCTCACATACCGCCATGAGAGTCACAAGACATTCACGGAGTGCTTCTTTGCTGTTTCCGACATCCTTATGAATCCACTTCACCGCCTCGTCACTCAGTCCACGAACAACCTTCTCTGCTTCAGAAACATCCACATAGAAATAGAGAACGACGGTTCGCTTCAGTGACTTGACCAAGGCATCGTGTAGGAATATTCCTGACGAACTGACTCCAGCAAGGAAGGACGGCGAAACGATCATTACATTTACTTTAGCTTCTGTGCGGTTAGTGTGGTCAGTCAGGTTATTGTTTTTCTTACTCAGGTCAGCGACATCCACAGTTTCAACAGAACACCCAAATCGTGTGTCACCAAAGCGTTGCTGTATGAACGCTGCCAGGTCTTTCCCATCATGTGCATAAAATAAAGCAAAGTCTATACCTGAAATGCAAGGCAGAAATTCAACTACATCTGCGACATTAAAATATATGTTGAATCCAAGGAATTAAACCGAAAATATATATACTTTTAAAACTACTTAAAACATAGTCAACCGAGAAATTTATTGCTATAAAAAAAAGATGAGGAAAATAACTTTAACAAAAATGATTACTTTTACTTTCAGCTTTTGATTCTTAGCTCTTTGTTGATACATGCTATGTTTGAGTCTGTGTGTTGCAACCTTTTTAGTTTGAAATATGACGCTTTCAAAGCCTTTCAATTTTAAAGAGTGTATTGTGTCATTCTATTACAAGCGCCTATATCAACCATATTCCAACAGGGGCGGTCGGGTAGCCTAGTGGTTAAAGCGTTCGCTCGTCACGCCGAAGACCCGGGTTCGATTCCCGACATGGGTACAATGTGTGAAGCCCTTTTCTGGTGTTCCCCGCCGTGATATAGCTGGAATATTGCTAAAAAGCGGCGTAAAACCGAACTCACTCACATTCCAACATGCACTAGTATTCTATGACCTTAAGCATACAGATACATCACTGTCACTTGTCATTAAGTAAAGGGGGGCGGTCGGGTAGCCTAGTGGTTAAAGCGTTCGCTCGGCACGCCGAAGACCCGGGTTCGATTCCCGACATGGGTACATTGTGTGAAGCCCATTTCTGGTGTCTGGTGATATTGCTGGAATATTGCAAAGAGCGGCGTAAAACCAAACTCACTCAATCACTCACTAACTCATTAAGTAAAGGTGACGCTCTTCAACGTTTTGTACGGACAATAAGTTTGCTGAAAATACAACACTCTATAATTGTGTCACAGTTAACATAAATATAATGCTGCTAATGTTGGTCAAAGGCCTCAACCTGAAGATACAGTCTCTATTACTTCTTAAATATTTCCCTGAAAGTAACCGAGGGCAAATCCATTCCTCAGATTGGTTATGGTGAATAGTAACATCAAATCAGTATCGTCGTATATCCTGTTTGCAATAATAAAAAATCATATATTTATGTAATAACTTTCAATAAGATTATTTGTTGGAAAAGTTGATAAATGTTTGTCTTTTTATCAAAGTATGTTTATACAAACATGCTGCTGGGTGTAATTGTTTGTTTGTGACGTGAGTACATTTAATCCCAAACAAGATATAGTGTGTTCCACATCAACAGGAACACATAACAATTATTTGGAATTATTCTAACATACATCGAAAGTGTTGCCACATGTGTTGCATGTATTGCATGTATTGCATGCATAAATACATCGTAAATCCTTGCATGAACCAGTGTATGTGCGAAGGCTTTAGCCGATCAGTAAATGGGGTAACGCTGTGTCCTATCACCACTAGCAAACATCCGGTAGGTGTGGTGTGACAGATTTAAGCTTCTCCGGATATATTGACAATGTTAAACGACTCTACCGTACCGGCGTCTAACATCCGCTGTAACAACGTGTATGTATTCAATCAGCAAGTATGTCTCTGTTGAGATTGAATTGAATGTATATTCTAAGGGTACCGACCATTTGATATTATAGGGGTGTGGGGTTGGGTGCGGGGGTTGGGCGTGTGTGGGTTCGGTGTTTTGTTTTGAGACCAGATGCTCTTTCAGCTACAGCTGCAAAACTGTTTTTATTACATCTGTGAGCCAAAATATGTTTTTCTAAAAACCCTTTGCAACAATGAAAATTTTGTTGCAGACAATTACCCAACAATAGGAAGCATCATTAACTTTTTCAAGAAATTTCGGGGACAATTTCTTTTTATCTATAACATCCCAGGCCCACACATCAAATGGTCGGCCCCTAACATTATTTAGTACACCGCAGTTTACCAGACCTATCCCAAACAGACAAAATGAGAATTACCAGTTGATATTCTTGAACATACTGCATTGAATGGATAAAACTATGGCTTGGGTACACACGTGTTACTGTATATATATTTTTTTTTTTTTTTTTTGCCAGACCATACTTCCAATTAAATATTCAAGTCCAAATATCATACTTCCAATTAAATATTCAAGTCCAAATATCATACTTCCAAATAAATATTAAAGTCGAAATATCACAAACCATATATAGGTCTCAGTACAGTCGTTTCACTTTATATTGTCACAAACTAACATACATGAAGATATACAGTTGCGATGGTATGTTCTAGAGTCCTACCTTTCCCAGCCATTCTTGGTGTCTTGTTTACCTTCGAATACATCCTAAATGCTATAAACACGTCTTTAGATCAGAAATACATCGATTATTTCCACAACTTGAATTAAATAGAATTAACCACAATGTCACCAGCTCGTGTTGCCATCTACGCCAGGCCAGCTTCTTAGACAAAGGGCCGCAACTGCTGAATGTGTAAATAAAATGCAGGAAGAAAATTGTATCGTTGTTTATTGATAATGCGTCAATATCGTGTCTTTGTACGTGCTCTTGTTAAGCCAGGCAACTTTCCTTAAATCTTCAAGGAAGCAAGCATTGTAGATGTTCCTGGTTTTGACCTATAATGAAATGAGGAATGATTTTCGATATTTTGGTAATGATTCATTTCATGATTACCAACACCGCCAATTTAATTTCTCTACATTTCCCCGTGTTTTTACAGCTTTCTACTAAGGAGACAAACCTACTGTTTTGAAATTTGATGGAGTCATCATTGTAGAGTAGATACCTTTTATCTTAATTTGGAACCGAGCGCTTTTACAATTTTCTATTTGTTAATAACGTTAACATATGTACACGTTGCCTTACATTATTTGGCTTGGAAAGTTGGGTTTTTTATATACAAGCATTACTTATTATATGAATTGGTAATAATAATCAACTCGCCAAATATGCATTGATATATGAAACGTTAAAGTGAATTAATCTAACACCGTCTCACGAGAAAGCCTCAAAGGATACAGTAATAGGTACTGAAACAAAGACATGTTTTACAAATGACTCTCTGATCTTCTACACTACCGATATGATTCTCACATCACACATTAATCTCTGCAAATGCCCGTTCCAGTAGGACAGATCCTACACATACAGAGGACACTGTTTACTTTGCAACATAGATTCACTATATTTTCTGTGGCCATATCCTCCGTTCCCCACAAACAGCCCAAGTTGTGGAAGGCAGTGCTGATTCCAGGGACCACACGGGTTGTGAGAATATAAATACCATTGCTCGGAAATTATATTATGAAGGTACATTATCCCCCCTGCATACGGTTGCTATCACATCGGCATTGTTATACATTGTCTAAATGTACGAATTTTTTATTTTCATAAGGGGAAGATTGATAATGTCTCACACACATATTAATCAGTTTATTCATCGAATATCAGTCATATGCGTATTTGCAATGTTCACAAGCTTTGTATGAATTACTTCCCCAATCCGTTCACATACATTGACATTTCCTGTTCTGCTTATTGTATCGGTGGTATTGTACAAGTACTGAAACATTAACATAATGTTGAACATGTCATCATTTGGCGCAGGGGCGACCGAGTGGCCTGAAGTGTAGTCGGAAGTCATATACACGGTAACGGACATCTCATATCTGGAGTAAATTATTCACTCCTTGTGTGACCAAAAGTTCAAAACTTGTCCAAAAGTAACGCTGTACAACAGCTCTTCGATGTCATTGATACAGGAACTGTTGAGTTGTCAGTGGCTTGAGTTACCGTTCATGGAAGAGGTACCAACGCAAGGGTATCATAGAAGTATTGTCTGCTTTTCCTTTCCTATCACGGCGAGCGTCCACGTGCTCGGGGGTATTATGAAATCTTTGACTTGACTTTAGAGTGATTGGGTGACTATGGTGTTTATCGCCGATGTCAGCTGTGTAGCCGGGACATCAGGACGGCCTGCGTTGAACCGGGGCACCCAATAACACGCAATCCGCCAAGAAACCTGACCATCTGATCAAATAGTATCGCTTCAAACGTCTTCGCCAGTAAATAACTAGTCTCGATTATCCGACGAAACCATTGGGCGTAAAAAGCTAAATAGCCATGAAAACTATATAAATGGATCACTGAAAATCAGTGAAGACATTAGGTTTTCACGGAAAGTAGCACCCGACACTCACAGAAGCTGCTTTAAAAAGTATTTGTTTGTAGCCTGACAACGCACAGAAGCACTCCTGTCATGCGACGGCGGCATGTTAACAAACCAGACAATCAGGTGATGAGTCTGAGTCCAAAGACACCATGGTGCACTTACTGATTTTCTTTCTGATCGAGATGTATGTTGAAAGACAGTGTATTAATGAGAGAGATGCAATAAAATCCATATGGAACTGGATAGTCCATGAATTAGTACGGCATATGGAAATGGAGACATTGCAGACAATAATGAATGATAACTGCTAGAGTTAATGTACACCATTGTCCTCTTCGTGTTATCTGATGGCATATCTGAAGATAGTCCATTTATTCATATCTGAACGTTATCTACATGGACCATATATGCAGCCTTGACACCGAGTAATCATTTGATAACATATCTTGAGGTTGTTGATATAGTTTGTCGACTAACCCTTATGACTTAAATACAGACATGGGGGTTTTATACGCGTTTTTGCTGTGTTTGATGTTAAACGTGAGAGGCGGACATGCAGAGAAGCCATGTGGTTTTCAGGTAACTGAGAAGTTGATTATTTATTTTACAACGAATGTGAGTTTAGTTGAAAATGTTTCGTAAATGGAATTGGAAAGCCGGAAATATTCTGGACATTTCACTGCGTATGGAAACTTTTCTTGATAAAAAAAAATGGAATCACAAATTTGAAAAATGTGGTACGGTGACATGATTGCATTGATTTTCTTTATATCCAACAACGCAGTGACCATGATAGCATGTGAGGGCATGTATTGTGTCATGGCGGTATGTATCATTCCAGAATTACGTCATACCTGTCGCACAGCTGATTGCACACACGTCTTTAATATGTCGATATCACCGTATGTTCCAATCGAAATTATAGGCCATCGACTACGCAAAAACACCTTTAATAATAATAATAATAATAATTCTTCATCTGAAACGTGGCAAGGTAGAAGAGGGAGGACCAGTCAGTTTACTTGGGGGGCGAGTTATTGACCATCTCGTGGAAGGTCAGACCTATACGAACTTGGTGATGCAGGTTAGGGACAAACTCCAGAATGCCCATATCAAGGAAAAACTTCGGACAGAGTACAAATGTAGGCTTAAGAACATCTGGAGTTCAGAGCTGAACGCTCGCAATGAAGTTAAAGCCACAAATACTTATGCTGTACCAGTCCTTTCATATTCTTTTGGTGTTGTTGATTGGACGAAACAAGAAATTCAGGGTATTAACACACCTCACACGAAGAATCATGTCAGACAATAGACCGCACCACCCTATATTATATTTCCCAATTATAATCGGAGAGTGTGGTTTGATTAACTTTGGGGATCTTCGTGATAGAATGTGCATAAGACTCATGATGAAAGCAAGGCATTCTACAGTTTACGTAGAAAGAGCTGAGGATGTTGGACATCATCTCAATGTCAGTATTGATTTTGTTGATGGTTTTGTACTGCTGGGCGGGACAAGAAATGAAATGAGTGTCAACCAAGCTAAGTGTCATGTCAAATCGGCCCAGACTCATTTTTGCAAGGAGAGGCTATCTGAACGACCAATGCATCGGGTTAATGTGTAGTGTGTTGAGAGGACCAGCCACCCTGCAGAGTCCTTCGGTTGGATGAAGTCGACTGGCCTGAAAGGTGAAACAGAAGGCTTTCTGTCTGCTGCTCAGGACCTGTCACTTCCCACTCGAAACCGTCAATATGTGATTTTGCATCAAAATGTAAATATGAAATGTAGATTATGCAATGAATGTAATGAGATTGTCCAACACATTGTCAGAGGATGCCAAGATTTGGCACAAGCACAATATCTTAAGCGACATAATGGTGTACCTCGATCATTTTATTACCGTCTTTGCCATGGTTTGTGGTTTTCATACAGAGGTCCATCCATGGTACGACCCGGAATATGTAGAGGGCGTCATTGAAAATGATAAATAAAAATTCTTTGGAATAGGCCCGTTTGCAGCCTCAGACGTATGCAGTCCAACAAACCTGATCTTGTCCTTTTTGATAAATCCAATGAAATCATTTTGGCACTAATGTGATTGACAAGATTCAGCAAAAACATGGTAAAAATGCAGACCTCGCTTTCGAAATGTCACGCTTGCATCCCATGTACCAAATTGTCCGACTCCCCATTTCTCTCGGTGCCTTTGGTTTGGTACCTCCCAATCTGTTGACTGACATTGGGAGAGTACCCTTCTTACAATCTGGGTAATGCAGAAGACTGCAGTGTTGGGGAGTCTTCACATTTTCCGAAAAGTTCTGGGTTGGTTTGCCTGGGCAGCGCTTCCTGGGAGAAGTCCCATTCGCTGTCTGGGCTGCGTATAGAGGGGGTAAGGGCGCTGAAATGATTATGAGCCTAACCATCCTGACCCTCTTTGCTGCATTTTTTATTTTAATCTGTAAATAATAATAATAATAATAATAATTCTGAGGCACCGCAATTCGTTCTGTAGATTGCGTCTCTTAGGCCTGTCAAATCCATATCCTCGCAAGTTCGAGAGATGCCCTGATTATGATCAATGCTTTGTGTGACACACACCCTTGCTGGCATGTTTCACTTCGGACTTTCATCCAACATTAAGTTAAGGCGTCGTGATATTAGCGAAATAATGAGAATTTGTAACTTTAATATACCACTTAACGTATTTCTAGAGCTGCAACCATGTGGAAGAGGACATGCTAAATGTGCACCTTGTTCCCCATACACACGATGATGTGGGATGGTTGAAAACTGTGGATGAATACTACTATGGGGGTGAGTATTTCCTACATGATATAAGATTTTGTTACATGCACAGACATAATTTCCTACCTATGTTCTTTCTGGGAATTTTTCTATTTCCCAAAGGTAATATTGGCTTGCTTTTAAATGTGTTTGTGTCCCGTGCCATCGGAGCGGCAGGACACTCACATTTTTTCAAGAACACGTGATATCATCATCATAGTGATTCATAAACAAATGTTCATGATACAGGGTGAATTGCAGGCATGGGAAATGCAGTGACATGACGCTTTTCTTCAGGGTACTGGGTCAGTTGCTTTTCCAGTTCTCTCAAGGCATACGTGTCGTACATTACCAGTTTTAATTACAATATCATAAAATTGTCTGCCTCATTTCTGAACTGTTCCCGATTTAAAACCAAAAATGACAATGTTGTAAAAGTTGCATTAGTGTCACAATATTCACTCACGTTTTCATAAATAGGCGAAGATCATATCA